TTTGAGAAAGTAGGAATAAAATCATTGAACTGTAAAGAACTGTGGGACTGTAGCTAGGATCTGCCTACCTAATGTCTTCCTTCTCGTGGCTCAATCAAAGACATTTCAGATTCTCTTTTCATTTTAGGATTCAAAAGTTCTCAGCTATATTTTACTTACCTTTGTTTTCATTATCTTTATGAGAAATTGAATAGTTTTTTCCAATCATTGAGAATACCAAAGGTATACAAGTAGCTAACATGAATAAAAATCAAAATGATGCTTGGTTTGCCTCTTGTGATAGATTATCAGTATTGATATTGACATTTTGGAATAAGTCAAATGAGAGTTGTTTGGCTTTAAAAGTGGCCTTTTAATGGAACTACCTCTTTATAGATAAAATGGTATTTATCATGACTTGTTTATGAAGTTTCTATCCCATGCTTTTAAAGCATATTAAGAATTATTTCACTTGGAAGAAAATTAATTAAGGGGTTCTTTTAAGTAGTAAGCCTTTTTATTTGCAAGAGGTCATTTTGGAAGAAGTATTCAAATTTGTTATATAAAACTTAAGAAGTAGGCCAGCAGGTTGTGTGGTGATTAAGGAACTGGACTCCCACATTGCGAACCAAGGTTCGAGTTTCAGACCTGGCAGCTTGCTTTCTCACTTTCTCTTTCTGTCTTTCTCTAGTGAGCATATGTGCCCTGTAGCAAATTTAAAAAATAATCATAATGATAAATTAAATTAAATAATTCTTTTAAAAAGCCAGAAGTAACTTTTGTGGATATCATAGATCTATGATGGTCTTCATGGGTATGGAATTAAATGAGATTAAAATGGAAATTACCTAGGTCACAATTTTTTTTCTCTGACTTGATTTTTCTTATGTTATCATTTTAATTTTGTGTTTGTTGAATAGAAATAGAAATAACATCTGTTTTCTCATTAAAAAAAAAATGTACAGGGCTGGCACATGGCGTGGTGGTTAAGGACACTGGACTCCCACCATGGCTGACCATGGTGTGAGTCCCGGATCTGGTAGCTTGCTTTCTCACTTTCCCTCTCTCTCTCTCTCTGTCCCTCTCTGGTCAAATTGAAATAAATAAATAAGTAAAATTTTTTTTAAAGTACTTAGATTTTTTATTACACATAATTATAATTGCATGTATCTACCTGCTTCTACAGATTCGTTGTCACTCAGTTCCTTTTATTTAAATCTTTTATTTAGAGCACTTGTTTAAATATACCACTTTAGTCTTGAAATTAACTTAGAACTAGAAAACTTGAGGACTAGCTGTTCGGAGCATTAAGCTTGGGAGCTATGTTTTCCTAGAAAAGGGCGATTAAAACTGGTTCGGGGTGAGGCCTTCTAGTTCTGGCTCTTGTGATTGGGTCTGTAGAGTTCTGGTGCAGTGACAGTGATAAGCTTTTTGTACCAGAAGGGGCAAGAGATTGTGCTGCTATGAATATAATCTACTCCTTATTGACTCTGCTCTTTAAAACTATGTATTGCAATTCAGAATTTTTTTTTTTTAAAGAATTATCTATTTATTTATTTATTTATTTAGATTTGGCCAGGTGGTGGGGTAGAATTGAGAAAGCAAGCTGCCAGGTCTGGAACTCAAACCATGGTCAGCTATGTAGGAGCCCAGCACCCTTAACCACCACGCCACCTGCTGGCCCCTGTAATTCAGGATCTTTAAGATAGAGAGCTCTCCCCTTCAAAGATGGGAAGAGATACACAATGGAAATAAAGATTTTATTACTTATAGGTAATACGTAGAATGCCTGGAGGTGACGCACATGGATGTCAGAGAACACAGTCAAGGAATAAGAGAAGAGAACAGAAGGGAACCCAGGGCATTGTCCAGACAGATTTCCCAGTGGGAATTTTGGTTTTTTTTTGTTTTGTTTTGTTATCTTTTTTTTTTTTGAGAGGTTTTTGCTATAGGATGCATGCGCTTGCCTGACAGAGACAGAGAGACAGAAAGTGAGAAATCACTCCCCAGGGGGGATGGCCACGCCGCAATCCCTTCTCCATTCTCCTCTCGGGATCTTGGGCACGCACGCACATGCGCCCGGCATGAGTTTTTTAAGCCACAGGGTCCAGGATGCGAACCGCGGTCGACTACGTGAGAGTCCAGCAACATAGCCATTACGCTAACTGCTGGTTCCTTCCCAGTGGGAATTTTAATTGGCAGATTTAAAACAAGCAGGCAATGACTGAAAGGTAGTCACCCAGCCGGTCCATGTTGGCTAGAAGGGCCAGCAGGGCCAGTTTCCCAGGCTCCGTCCGGCAGTCCTGTGGGGAAGTGGTGACCAGGATGCAGTTGTGGAAGGCAGGCAGCTGGATGCGCCCCATACTGGAAACTGTCGGGGTGACCAAACCCTGCTTCTAATGTGAGAAATTTGGACTTATATACCGATGCAACATAACATTTTTAGAATTCAGTATACTTGGGGATTAAAACTTTTTGTTGTTAATTGATTTTAGATAGGAGACTTTTTTTTTTAGAGGTTTTTGCTATAGGGCATGTGCTCTCACTGGAAAGAGACAGAGAGAAAGTGAGAAATCACCCCCTCCCCGTGGGGCCAGGGGCAGGATGGTCACGCTGCAGTCCCTTCTATTCTCCTCTCAGGATTTTGGGCATATATACACACAAGTTTCAAGCCTCTGGGTTCAGGTCTTGAACCACAGTACCACAGAAGGCCATGTGGGAGTCCAACAATGTAACCATCACACCATCAGCTGGTTCTGATAGGAAATTTTTTATATAATGTCCTTCATTTTGTAATCTGCATGAGCCTCACAGCTTGTTTTGTGCCATACAGGTGTGTGGTGTGTTGTAAGTGTACTTAAGATACAGGAAAAGCCTTAAAGTAAATAATGTGCAATAAATGTCCGTTTCGTAGATCTCAACATAATACCACCTTGAAGTAGTTAAACGCACTCAAACCAAATTAACCTATCACAGGACTCCAGTGATTACAGAACTGTGTTTACTATGAAAAAAAGATTAATTTCTTAAATTTTCGGAGATGAGAACACAATTTCTTTTTTCTTTTCTTTTTTTTTTTTTTTTTAGAGGTTTTTGCTATAGGGTGTGTGTGCTCTCCAGAAAGACAGAGGCAGAGGCAGAGAGACAGGATGGGCACACCGCAATCCCTTCTCCTCCATTCTCCTCTCAGTATCTTGGGCACGCACACACACGTGCCTGGCGTGAGTTTAAGCAACCGGGTCCAGAACTTGAACCATGGTCGACTACATGGGAATCCAGCGACAGCCATTACACTAACTGCTGGTCCCAGAGAACACAATTTCTGTAACCCAGTAACCCATTGAACTTTACTCTTTAGATGCTCAGTTTTCAGCCTTGAACAGAGCACTTAAATACTTGGATCATTAGCTTTTTCATCTGTAAAATAGCATAACCTTTCATTTATGTGTTTTTTATTATTATTACCAGAGGTCACATGTGAGTACTTATCAGAGAGGGTGCCTAAAGGGTGTAGCTGTGGTTCATTCATGAACCACAGTCAGGCATGTGGGATCTGGCTCCTTTAACCACTAGGCAATGGGGCCAATCATGTGTTTTTTGTCTTTATTTTTAGGTTCATTTGTTTGTTTTGTTTTGTTTTGCCATAGGTTGCATGTGCTTGGTAGAGCAACAGAGAAAGACAGTGAGAGGAAAAGTGAGAACTCTCCCTCCCCAGAGGGGCTGGCCATGCCACAACCCCTTCTCTATTCTCTTGGGATTTGGGGCATGCATGCACATGTGCTGGTGTGAGTTACAAGCAGCCAGATCCGGGACTCAGACCGTGGTCAGCCATGTGGGAGGCCAACAATTTACCACTGTGCCACCTGCTGGCCCCTATGTGTTGTGTTGTTTTGTTTTGTTTTCTGTCTTTCTTTCCTTTTTGTGCCAAGGATTTAGCAAATCATTTATAGGAGCTGTTCATTTAATCAGAAGGGTCTTTCTGTTGGAAGATGCCTTGTGGTCTTTGTAGCATCACCACTCTTGATTAATTTTTGTATTTGTCCCTTTTACAACTAAATTTGATTATTTAATCTACTGTCTTCCAATTGCTTCAATCTATTATCAGTGATGACATTCTAACTATTTTCCCCTAAATTTCAAGTTTGAAAAATTTAAAGCCTGTAGAAGAAATTGAAATAATAGTACAGTGACTATCCAACTGTTAACAGTGTGCTGTGTTTGCTTTATTTCATATAAATATACATACACACATACATACACACAAGTAATCTATTACAAATTAGTTATGGACATCATCATTGTTAAATTCTTCAGCGTTAATCTCCTGAGAATAAGGACATGATCCTGTCAAACCTCAGTGCCATCTGACACTGATAAAAGATGTTACCCAGTTTGTGGTCCATAGTAAGAGTTCTTACTCTTCCCCGTAATGTCCTTCATAGCTTCCCCCACCACTGCCCCTCCGCAATTCAGGATCCAGTCAAGGCTCACACTAAATTCGGTTGTCATATAAACTAATATTTTCTAGAACAGTAGTAATATACTTAAAGTAAATTTTTTTTTAAAGAATTATTTTATTGGAGCTAGCAGGTGGTGTGGTGATTAGGGGCACTGGATTCTCACATAACCGACCACAGTTCAAGTCCCAGAGCTGGTGGCTTGCTTTCTCACTTTCCCCCTCTCTCTCTCACTCTGTCCCTCTCTCTTTCACTCTGTTCCTCTCTGGTCAAATTCAAATGAATAAATAAATAAATAAAATTCAATAAAATTATTTTAATAAAGAATTATTTTATTGAAATTAATTTTAATCAGAGAGTGACCGAGTGAGAGAAGGGGTGAGGAGTGAGAAAGCAAGACACTAGGTCTGGAACTCAAACCATGGTCAGTCATGTGTGAGTCCAGCACCCCTAACCATCATACCACTGGCCGGCTCCTTAAAGTAAATTTGATATATAATAATTAATCTAGCCTGGTAATGAAGAGCCTTCATTCTGACTCAGAGGTATTTATTTATCTCATTGTATTAATTCTTTTTTCTAATACTAGGTTCTTCTGTGTGGCAGCTCAGAATGATGGATCAAGCCAGATCAGCATTCTCTAACTTGGTAAGATATTTCCAGTTGTGTTTCTTTTTTTAAAGAAATAAGTATTTAATTTTATTTATTCATCCATTTATTTTAATTTGACCAGAGAGAGACAGAGAGAGAGAGGGGAAGTGAGAAAACAAGCCACCAGGTCCAGGACTTGAACCGTGGTCAGCTATGTGGGAGTGTCCAGCGCCTTAACCACCATGCCACCCGCTGGTCCCTCCAGTATTTCTATGTCTGCAAACATGTGAACTCTAATTTTGACTTTCACCCAGCAAGAAAGAAATATTATGCAAAGTTATCATCATGTATTCATTTACATTTGAACTGGTAGTCTTTTTTTTTTCCTTTAAAGGTTTATTTGCCCATTTCTTCCATGAGTGAGAGAGACTGGGGGAGGGGGGTACAGCACCCCAGCAGCATCCCCCAACCTTTAGCTAGTCCTGGGTCGTGGGCACACACGTGCTCAGCACACTCTGGGAGGTCTCAGAACTTACCAGGAACCCTCTTACGTGGGGTTGTCTGTCAGGATCGTGTTTTTCCGTTCTGTGAACTGGTGATCCTGAGGCGTACCTGATCCTGCAGAGAAGGGGTGTACACACAGACGTGAGGGTTAGCTACAGAACATAGTGTGAGACGTGTCAGGGTGAACGGGATGGCCACGTAGGTACAATGAACTAAAGAAGATCACAATGTAAAGTAGGAGACATGCACACCGAAACCCTGCGAGAAAAAATCTGAGCGCGACGCAGGTGACCAGGGCACGATCTCGTCCTTACCTGTCTGACAGAACTGGGAAATGTGTTCATCTGGTAGGGGAACTTTTCCCTCAAGAATATACAGCTAGTCATAGTACAGATCCAGCAAGTCGAGTACTTGACAACTTTCAGTAACTGTTGCTATTCCCTTTCTTCTTCATAATGTCTTCTTTCCCCCCCTGAAAAATTGTAGTTTGGTGGAGAACCGTTGTCATATACCCGGTTCAGTCTTGCTCGACAAGTAGATGGCGACAACAGTCACGTGGAGATGAAGCTGGCTGCCGACGAAGAAGAAAATGCTGACAGTAACATGAGGGCCAATGTCCCCAGACGAAGAAAGTGTAATGGAAGTATCTGCTACGGGACTATTGCTGTAATCATCTTCTTCTTGATTGGTATGACAGTCATTTGAAGCTCGATAGTTTCTTATAACCAGCTTTGGGAAGTCTGTTATTTTGGCTCAGTATATATTTATTTTGCACCTTTTCTAGTGCAAAAGGCACTAGGAATGCAATGATGACAAGTCTGTGCCTGCCATTGAAGTCAGTCTGGTGAGAGAAGAGACACGTGAGCTATTTCAATATAATGTGCAAGTGTCATACTAGTATATTCCATATACTAGGAATACGCACAGGATATTTGCAGAAGCTCAGCCTTTGGTTGGAAGGAAGGCTTCTGAGAAGAAAAGTTATCTAAGCTTTGAACAGGTGACTGTTTAAAGTGCAGTTATTATATAATTTATTGTATTAAATGGTTTAAAACATGTAAAAACGAGATGCATTACTGACTTTCAGACTTCTTAGAATTTGATTAAAACTGGTAGTTTTAAAGCTTAGCTGAAAATATTAATAATTCCTATTGAGGTAGATGACAAATGAAGTCCTATGAGTTTACATCTGAATTTTTTTTGGAGAGGTTTTTGCTATAGGGTGTGTGTACTCCCCAGAAAGAGAGAGACAGAGAGACAGAAAGCAAGAAATCACCCCCAAGGGGGGATGGCCACACCGCAATCCCTTCTGCATTCTCTCGGGATCTTGGGCACACACGCACACACGCCTGACATGAGTTTAAGCCACCGGGTCTGGGACTCAAACTGCAGTCGACTACATGGGAGTCCAGCGACATAGCCATTACACTAACTACTGGTCCCTCCTCTGAAATTTTTTTATCTTTAGGATTTATGATTGGCTACTTGGGCTACTGTAAACGTGGAGAACCAAAAGCTAAGTGTGACAGGGAGGCAGAAGCAGAGTCTTCAGACGTGGAAGAGCCGGAAGAGAACTTTCCCGAAATACCTCGCTTATACTGGGCAGACCTCAAAACAATGTTGTCAAAGGAACTGGATGCCGCACAGTTCACCAGTACCATCGAGTAAGCGCGAGCTGTATCACAAGGTCACCATAATGTCTAGACGAATACTAAGAGATTACTGGGTACAGGGAAGCAAAAAAACAAGGATGATATCCTTAAGGAAAGGCATTTTAGAGAAGGGTCAGAAAATAATTGAAACTGAAACTATACTGGTAGGAAAAAGGCTAGAACTTTCCTGGGGATTCTTCCTCCTCTTCTTCCCCTTCTCCCTCCTCCCCTCTCCTCCTTCGCCGTGCCCCGTCTGTCAGCCCTGTGGGATCTAACCACTTTAACCACCGTGCCACCATCACACAGGCATCAGTAGCCTTATGGGAGTTAACTTTACTGCCCGACTGGGGGTATCTCTAGAATTTCTTGACTCCTGCTGATTCTCACTCGTTAATCCATACCCTAAGAAGTATCTTTAGGATTTCTGTCCTTAGATTTTTCCGTGGGCACAGATTTTATGTAAAGAACAAACTCATTTTTTACCTTTTGCTAGTTTCCTGCGGTTTCACTGGTACTGTAGTTTGTTTAGAGTCTTAAGTTAGAAATCAAGGCCGTATTTTACTTCCTCTAGTAAACATTGTGCATGTGCCGTATGCCAGTCTTTTACAGGTGAAGAGAGTATAGTTCACACCCACGTAGACGCATGAAGTCAAGGGACTAGTGCGCTGAGCATGTGTAGAAAGAGCCGGGGGGGGCGGTCGGCACAGGGAGGTGTTTTGCTCCCGAGGACCGAGTGCTTCGGCATAGGAAAATTCAAGCTGTGCACCCTGAGCTCACCAGTAGTATGCTGTCTTCCAGTCTGCATATAGCGGATCTCTTGGAAGCCACTTCTTTCCCTTAAAACAACCCTAAGCTAATGTATTAGGGTGTGGCTCTTGCAGGGCTGCTTTATGGTGAATAAAGAGGTTTTAGGAAGTTTAAAGTCTTTAAGTTACTTAAAAGTACTGCGCACAATTTTGTTTCTTCTAAGTTTGTGTCTACCTGACCAGTCTCAAAGTTTTGGGTCACAGTTCATTTACCTTCACTATAAGGGATAATGTCGAATGCTTTTAAGGTAGTCTGTTTGATCCTTAGGTGTTTATTTTAAATTAAACTTTAGTTCATTTAACAGATATTTTTCTTCCAGGTGGCTGAATGGAAATTCATATATCCCTCGTGAGGCTGGATCTGAAAAAGATGAAAATCTTGCGTTTGCTATTAAAAATCGATTCCGTGACTTTAAACTCAGCAAAGTCTGGCATGACGAACATTTTGTCAAAATTCAAGTCAAAGGCAGGTATGTTGAGATGGTAAACTTACTTTATGCACCAAGCTCCTTTCACCTGTACTAAATATTTAACAGAGACTTTCAAAATAAAAATCAAGGGTAAGGGAACTAGCACATGGTATAATGGTTGTGTTGTTGGACTCCCACATGGCAGACCACAGTTCGAATCCTGGACCTGGAGGCTTGAAACTCAGCTGGGCACGTGTACATGCATGCCCAAAATCCCAAAAGGAGAACAGAGGAGAAGAGGGATTGCAGCATGGCCATCCTCCCTGGGGGGTGATTTTTCTCTTTCTGTCTGTCTCTCTGGCAAGCACACATGCCCTATAACAAAAATCTCTTGGGACTAGCAGTTGGTGTAATGGCTTTGCCACTGGACTCCCGTGTAGTTGACTGCAATTCGAGTCCTGGACCTGGTGGCTTAAACTCAAAGCCCGGTGCATGGGTGTACGTGCCCAAGATCCTGAGGGGAGAATGGAGGAGAAGGGATTGCAGCATGGCCATTCCCCCTGGGGCATGATTTCTTGCCTTCTGTCTCTGTCTCTGTCTCTCTGGCAAGCACATGCACCCTACAGCAACAATCTATCTTAAAAAAAAAAAAAAAAAAGATTTATAGCTAAATTTCCTCAAGCCAAATAAGGGCAGCCAAACACTGAAATATATTAAAGCTGTTTAATTTTGTTTCAAAGGATGGCCTTAGCTTCACTTGACCTTGATCTTTCTTCACAGTGCTGCAAACTCGGTGAGCGTAGTGGGTCCGAGCAATGACACGATACACCTGGTGGAGAATCCTGGTGGCTATGTGGCATACAGTAAGGCGACCACAGTCACTGTAAGTAAGGCAATACGGCCCTAAGGAATTTTCCTGTCGGGTAGCTCAAAAACTCGGTTTCTTTACTATTCTTAGGAGTTACAGAATAAAGTTATTTATAAAGTGTAACCGATCATGAGATATTCTTGTTCGCCACCCTTCAGTGCCGAGTCAAAATGAAAGGCAAAGTCCTCGTCCGATCGGCGTGATCCTAAATCAGCAACTGCTCTCCTCTTCACTCTGCTCTGGCCACTCTGACCTTGCTGTTCAGATTCAAGCCTGCTTTCACCTCAAGCCTTTCCCTTCGCCTGAGCCACTCTGCCCCTCAATGTCAACATGGCTCATTCCTTTTTTTTGGTGCAAATCTCTTTTCCAACATTACCTCATTGGAGATTTCTTTGAACAGCAAAGGATATCAAAAATGTCCTTCTTGAGTCCCTTCCCCTTGCTTTATTTTTCTTCATACTCCTTATAGCATCCCCCATTATCTTTTCATTTGTTTCCCTGAGGATGTGACCTACATGGAGAGCTAGGGGTTGGTTTCACTTACTGCCGTGTCCCAGAACCTTGGAGAGCGCCTGGCACATGGGAGTGTGTGCTGAAGGACTGCATGTATCGCATCCTTCCTTAGGTGGGGACAGATCTCAGTACCTGTCTTGGCTGGGGTCTCGTCTTAACTGGGTTTTTAGCACTCGCTCTTTATTATTTAGGTAAATAATAGCCATACTCACACAGGAAACCACAAGAATATCATTTGAATGTCAGCAGGTGCCCTCTGAGCCGGATGAAGTTTATGGTTATTCCCTGCCTTCATGGTTGTCTATAAGCCAAGGGTTTGATGATGATAGGTTGTTGAGGGCTGTAGTCTACCTGCAAGCTTTCTGTAGTCAGCTGTTTGGTTGCTAATTCTGTTTCTAAAGTCTTTGCTTGCACTCTTAATAGAGTTTAGGGATGTTGGCTTATATAAATATCTAAAGTTGGCGTTTGCTTGTTACTTTACTGTAGCAGATGGTATTTATAATTTTTGGACATATTTATTATCAGACCTTTCAGTTAAAACCTGTTCCTGGGGCCAGCAGGTGGCATGGTGGTTAGGGGCACTGGACTCCCACATGGCCGACCCATGGTTCGAGTCCCAGACCTGGCAACTTGCTTGCTCTCTCGCTCTCTCTCCTGCTCTCATTCTGTCCCTCTCTGGTCAAATTTAAATAAATAAATAAAGTTAAATAAAATAATTCTTTTAAAAAATTTTTAAAATAATTGTTTATTTAATTTTATTTATTCATTCATTTATTTTAATTTGACCAGAGAGAAATACACACAGAGAGTGAGGGAAAGTGAGAAAGCAAGCCACCAGGTCCTGTACTCAAACCACGGTTGGCCATGTGGGAGTGTCCAGCACCTTAACCACCATGCCACCTGGTGGTCCCAATAATTCTTTAAAAACAAAACAAAACAAAACAAAAACCAACCTATTCCTGTGGGTAGCCTCAACTGCTTTGGGTTCAAGTGTGGGAACCTTCTGTAACAGGTGCTGCCACAAGCCCACATTCGCCTCTGTGTTTCATATATCTTTTTGCATCCTCAGAAATACCTGAAGCAATGTATGTACCAGCTAGATTAAAGGCAGCATGGGAAAATAGGAGGTGCAAATATAGAAGGCCACAGAAATCTTTCTTTTTTAAAAGAATTGCCGGGGGGGGGGTCGGTAAATGCTCACCAGAGACACACAGAAAGGGGGAGAAAGCACCCCCAAAGGGAGCATGGTCACAGTGCAGTTCCCTCTCCTCCATTTTTCCATCCTGTTGGAATTTTTGGCATGCATCCAGTGTGCTTTTCACGCCACGGGCACAAGGATTTGAACGGTGCAATTGGCCATGTGGGATCTGGCTCCCTTAACCACAAGGCTACAGGGCCAGCCTAAGGCTAGAAATCTTGAGTTTTATTCCTGATAACTTGTTTTAACTTTAGGATTTTTTTTTTTTGTAGTCCCCTTTTTTTCCCTTCTTGCTTTCTTCTCTTAGGTTCGATCTGTAAAACCCTTATATCTTGGATTCAATAGCTTGTCTGATACTGTAATGCTTACTAAATTGAATATCTTTTTTCTAGGGTAAACTGGTCCACGCTAATTTTGGTACTAAAAAAGACTTTGAGGATTTAAAATCTCCTGTGAATGGATCTTTAGTGATTGTTAGAGCAGGGAAAATCACTTTTGCAGAAAAGGTGAGTAGGGTTATTTTATATATTATATCATATTCAGCAGTATTTCTTGTGAATTTTCTTACATTCTGAAAATCAACAGTCTCAGACTTTACCTGGTGGTAGAATTTATGAATGTGCTTAACAAATCAAATCAGCTCCAATGATCTAGTGTCACAGGGTACTTCAAAGCTATGGCATATCCACCTGGAGTATTTATAGCCATTGTCTTGTGAAACTGACGTCATCGGAAGTGCTTAAGTGAAAGCAAGTTAAATGATGTCTGTGTAACCTGCTTTTATGTAAATGTAGATTTAATTATGTTTTATGAAGGAGAGTTAAAGGCCAAATTTATTCAAGCAAGTAGACAGGAAGACATCGAGAGACAGTGGATGGGTTGTCATTATTTTTCTTATCTTTCAACTCTCCTTAATGAATTTTGAGGGAAATTTTTCATAAATAGATCTGTTCTTTGCAACATTTGGGAGAATCAGTCTAATGTCATGGAACCATTTGTCCTTTAGCATAAAATCCAGTGTATGTTCTTGTTTTGTATGATCAGCTCTGCGTTTTCTGAGCTTTATGTTGTGTGTTTTTCTTTAGGTTGCAAATGCTGAAAGCTTTAATGCAATTGGTGTCCTGATATACATGGACAAGGCCAAGTTTCCCATTGTTATGGCAGACGTTCCAGTCTTTGGACATGTAAGTTCTTATTTTTTGAGTAAATGAGTTTTGGGGTTCTCCAAATTGTTACTGGATTCTATCTACATTAGTGGAAATAGAACTGTGCCTTCCTTAAATACTTTAATACTCTCCCCCACCCCAAGAGAATTTTTTATTTCTTTCTTTTTTTTGGGGGAGGTTTTTGCTATAGGGCGCGTGTGCTCACCAGACAGACATAGAGACAGAAAGCGAGAAATCACCCCCCAGTGGGGATGGCCACGCCACAATCCCTTCTCCTCCATTCTCCTCTTGGGATCTTGGGCACGCACGCACATGCTCCTGGCGGGAATTTAAGCCACGGGGTCCGGGATGTGAACCACGGTCTACTACATGGGAGTCCAGCGACATAGCCATTAGCTAACTGCTGATCCTGTCTTTCTTTTTCTTTTCTTTTTATAAGAGAAATTTTTGCTATAAGACACATGCGCTTGCTAGAGAGATAGAGACAGAAAGTAAGAAATCACCCCCTGGGGGGATGGTCATGCAACAATTCCTTCTCCTCCATTCTTCTCTCGGGAATTTTGGGCACACACACACACACACACACACACACACACACACGTGCCCTGTGTGAGTTTAAGCTGCTGGTTCCTGGACTCAAACTGCAGTTGACTCCATGGGAGTCCAATGGCATAACCATTGCACCATCTGCTGGTCCCCAGGAACTTCTTGAGTAACTGTCTGATAGAGCTCATTCTTCTGTCTCACTAGGCTCATCTAGGAACAGGTGACCCGTATACGCCTGGATTCCCTTCTTTCAATCACACTCAGTTTCCACCATCTCAGTCATCAGGACTGCCTAATATACCTGTTCAAACCATTTCCAGAGCTGGTGCCGAAGCGCTGTTTAAGTAAGTTCTTATTTGAAAGCTGTCTTGCAGGGTGAGGTTTTATGATTAGGGAAGAATGATAATGTATTTAAATTGATTTGATAAAATCTTAGAACAATTAGGTATAATTTTTCATGTTTGAGAACTTGAGGGATGACTAATTGAAATCTTATTTCTTGTAATACCCATTAGTTTTGGACTTTTTTGTTTTCCGCAGCAGTTTCCTTGTCTATAGCATAAATACTCAGTTCTGAGGACATTTTCAGATGCTTTATGGTTAGTCTTCTGGATGTCCTTTCTAGTGTATTAGTATCACTTTTTTTTTTAAGAATTATTTTATTTAACTTTATTTATTTATTTAAATTTGACCAGAGAGGGACAGAGTGAAGAGGGCGGGGAGTGAGAAAGCAAGCCACTAGGTCCAGGATTCAAATTGTGGTCAGCCATGTGGGAGTCCAGTGCCCTTGACCACCATGCCACCTGCCAGCATGCTGTTAGTATCACTCTTTATGACTAGAACCCAGTCTAATGAGAGTACATATCATTACTTTATCTTGGTGTGGACATATTTCTCACTTGGCATTGCTATAGGCTGAAGATGTAGTTTTAGGGCCTTCTGAGCATTTATTTACTGTGTGACAGATAGCAAGTTTACTCTAAGCACTTTGATAGGTCAGCTCAATTGGATAGTTAAAGAATATTCTACTTAATACAGTGGTTGGTCTCAAATGAAGAGCATCTGCCTGTAAAGGCTTTGTAAAATACCAGGTGACTATTTTATTTTTTTGGAGAGGTTTTTGCTGTAGGGCACATGTACTCCCCAGACAGACAGAGAGAGACATAGAGACAGAAAACGAGAAATCACCCCCCAGGGGGAATGGTCACGCTGCAGTCCCTTCTCCTCCATTCTCCTCTTGGGATCTTGGGCATGCACGCACACGCGCCCGGCGTGAGTTTTACACCACCGGGTCCGGGACGCGAACCGCGGTCGACTACGTGAGAGTCCGGCGACATAGCCATTACACTAACTGCTGGTTCCCCCAAGTGACTATTAATAATACTGTCTAAGAGGCGTTTGTAGTAGGCGATTTTTATTGACTCATACTAATAGAATCAGCTAATTCTACCCACCACCTGTAAGTCTTTCCCAGCCTGTAAAGCCAGCCCCGCATCTTCTCTCTGTGCGGTATGGGGTAACCATGTGTTGGCCTACATTTATGTAAGTAGTTCGCTTCGCAGCGTTGTTTGGATAACACATGAGGAGTTCCATAGGGGAAGAGATCTAACTACCAAAAGCACAGGGGTATTCTTTTATAACTGAGATAAGAATGTGTATTACTTTTGTTAGTGGAGAGAGTTGGGAAACATAACAATTTATTAATGGACTTTTATGTAAGACCTTCATTCTGAGGTTATCTGGTATGTATTTCAAATGGAAACTAGAGCTATTTTTCTGGAAGAAACACATTCATCATATGAGGATAGGTAGAGAAACTTTAAAAATAAAAACTTAAGGTGCATATACTCCCCAGAGAAAGAGAGAAAAAAATGAGAAAGCATCCCTCCCCGGGGGATGACCACATTGCAGTCCCTTCTCCTCGTGGGATTTTGGGTATATACATACATGTGCTCCTTAATTTTTTTAAGTCTCTAGGTCCAGGACTTGCAGTATAGTCGGCTATGTGGGGTCTAGCCACCTTAACCTCCATGCCATTTTTTTTTTTTTGGTTATTATTTATTTTATTTTATTTACTATTTTTAAGTTTGCTATAGGGCACATGTGCTTGCCAGAGAAAGACAGAGCAAGAGAAGGAAAGTAAGAATGCAAGCCACCATGTCTGGGACTCATATCATAGTCTGCCATGTGGGAGCCCAACACCTTAACCACCACGCCACCTGCTGGCCCTGGGGAACATTTTTAAAGCATTGTTTAAACCAAGAAGTAACTCCTGGTTTACTAATGACTGTCTACAGATCAGAGTAAGACACAAGTGTTTGACCAGTAACTAGAGAATAAATTTTTAATTTTATTTTTATTTTATGTAATTTCTTTTTTTTTTTTTTTCAAGAATTGTTTATTTAATTATATTTGTTCTTCCTTTTTTGAGAAATTTGGCCAGAGAGAGAACAGAGGAAAGTGAGAAAGCAAGCCACCAGGTCTGGGACTCAGATTGTGGTTGGCCATGTGGGAGTGTCCAGCACCTTAACTACCACGCCACCTGCTGGTTCATTTTATATAATTTCTTAGTTACATTTAATTGTACATTTTTGGGGTACAGTGTGGATTTTGAAAGTATGCAATAAATCAATATTACTATATTTATTGTTTTCAACATTGTGATGTGTACTTCAATTTTTGCTCTAGTAGTTTTTCTTTTCTTTCCTTTAAAAAAAAAATTTTTTTTTTGAGAGCTACCTATGGAAGATTAGCATCATCTCTTTTTTTCACTCTGTTGTGGTATACCATTCCACAACTCATTTTCCCCATCTACATGCATACCTGTGTCTGTAAATGCTTATTTTCCTGAGCCCCTCTTATTCCCCTCCCCAAATAAATTTTATGTTTTCTTAGAATGTCATTGGGGGGCTGGCAGGTGGCATGGTGGTTAAGGGCACTGGACTCCCCATGGCTGACTGCCATTCAAGTCCCAGACCTGGCAGCTTGCTTTCTTTCTCTCTCTCTCTCACTTTCTCACTGTGTCCCTCTCTGATCAAATTAAAATAAGTAAATAAATAAATAAGATAATTCTTTTTTAAGAAAAGAATGTTACTCGACAGAAAATAGGACTTTTTGTTTGAGGGGGTGAGCCGGGGAGAAGGGACAACACCTCAGAACCTGGTACCTGTTTTCTGTTTCTAGACATATGGAAGGAGAGTGTCCTTCTGGTTGGGAAATAGACCCTTCCTGCCGGCTGCAGTCCTCGGAGAATAAGAGAGTGAAGCTTACTGTGAACAATGTGCTGAAAGAGATGAGAATTATCAACACCTTCGGAGTTATTAAAGGCTTTGAAGAACCAGGTAAAGATCTTCGTTTCGTGGGGCCTTTGGTTTTGTTTTTCTGTTTGCCTTGCTGTTTGTAAGGACGTGGCCAGAGAAAGAGGGATTGCAGGAACACTGACGTGGCTTGGTTTTGTGATGTGCTAAATCTTGTTTGTCCTGAAGTGAACTGTTCAGGTGTCAGCTTTTTTGAGAGGGAATAGGCCCTAGGAAATTTACTTGTACAAAAAACTGATCATTATGACCAGAACGTCCATTTGTAGTCATTGACTAACCCAGTGGTAAGCAAGTTTCTTAAAGGGAAAGATAACATCTCGCAGGCTGTACAGTCTCGCAGCTATTCAGGTCTGTTGTAGCACACACATGGGCACAGGCACACATGAGGCATAACTAGCTGGTGGGTGTGCAGGCTGGCCGGTGGGTGGTGTGCAGGCTAGCTAGTGGGTGTTTGCCAGTCCCTGCAATAGTCAAAAATGCAATCCAATAGTCATCATTTACTAAGGAAAACCCTTGGACTTAGACTGTTTGTGAAACAGTTATTGAGCACAAATAAGTAGTCAACAAGTAAACATAATTGATAGCGATACTAATAAAGAAAGAAAAAAGGTTAGTATTGTCATTTGGATTTTTAATCCATGGAGTCCTAAGTCAGGTCCAAAGCAAGGATCTTTTATCCTTATTACATAAACCATATTTTTTCCCTTCTACTGATAGGCTTATCTTTGACTTCAATATTAGAAAGCAGCTTGAAAGCTGATTGTGTAATTTTGTCATTTTTCTTGTTTGTCTTTAAGATCGCTATATTGTAGTAGGGGCCCAGAGGGATGCCTGGGGTCCTGGAGCTGCCAAGTCCAGTGTCGGAACAGCTCTCCTGCTGGAACTTGCCCGGATATTCTCAAATATGGTCCTAAAAGGTAGAGTACACATTTGGAGACCTTTGAACATTTACGTGCTACGTATCCTTCTGCATGCTATCGTCTGCTTTGCTCATTTTTGCCTATATTTATATGATTCTTTCATGCTTGACCCTTAGTTCGAGGGCAAGGCAGAGTGTCTTTTGTTGTAGCTGTCTTTCAACTTTGAAACAGCATTTCTCTGAGGTGTCTTTGATGCACTAGAAATCAATTGATTTGAGACACCGAAAATGGTTATATTGAGACCTAAATCTTAGTTCGACATATATAGAATGACATGGCAAATCTGACATAATCCTTAAGGAATCTGTTTGAAAGTAGTGGTATACCTCTATCCTAATGTGCTAAGACCTAAAAACTATTAAAAATATGTCCTCTGGGACCAGCACATGGCTTAATGATTACATCACTGGAGTCCCACATAATCGACCGCAGTTTGAGTCTTGGACCCGGTGACTTGAAACTCATGCTGGGTGTGTGTGCATGTGTGCCCAAAATCCCAAGGGGAGAAGGGATTGTGGCGTAACCATCCACCCTGGGGGGTGATTTCTCACTTTCTCTCCAGCGGGTGCATGCACCCTATAGGAAAAATATCTTACATAGGGGGAGGGAGCAGCAGGAGACGTGGTGCGTAAGGGCACTGGACTCCCACATGGCTGACTTCAGTTCGAGGCCCAGACCCGGTAGCTTGCTTTCTCACTTTCCCCCTCTCTCTTTCTCAACTCTGTTCCTCTCTGGTCAAATTAAAATAAAATAAAGAAAGAAAGATACAATAAAATAATTCTTTAAAAAGAATAAAAGTGTTCTGCTAACTTCTAAGCCCTTCTTTCATGGTACATACCATTCTTCCATCCCCACCCACACACTTCCAAACCCACATCACATTCTTGAATCTTTGGGTCATGGGTTAAGTTGCAGTGTTTAGCTTTTGCACAAAGTATATTAATGCAGAAAAATACATACCCAGGGAAGTGGGTGTGATGGGAGTAATGGTGCATGTGGTCCCAAAAGTAACTGTAACAGATGTAATTCCTTTGGAAACGCCTTATAACTTGAATATGTTCATTTTTGTTCAACTTTATACTAATTATGTTTAAAAAGAATCCAGTGTTTTAAGTGACTTACCTCTAGATTGTCCTCAAAGAAGATATGCATCATACTTACACTATGATTTCAAATATCTCTTTTTTTATTTGGAGAGGTTTTTGCTATAGAGTGTGTGTACTTGACAGAGAGACAGAAAGCAAGGAATCACGTCTCGGGGGAGGTGGGGTGGCCACACCACAATCCCTTCTCCTTCATTCTCCTCTTGGGATCTTGGGCACACACGCCCGGCATGAGTTTAAGCCACCGGGTCCGGGACTTGAACCGCAGTCAACTACATGGGAGTCCAGCGACATAGCCATTATGCTAGCTGCTGGTCCCAATCTCTTGACCCAGACATTAAGGGAGTCAAAGTATATTGTTGTAAAAGAATGATAATAAGCTGGTCCCTACTATGTACTTGAAGATGACTTTCTATCCCTTCTTTTTTTTTTTGGTAGATTATCTTAAAATTCTATTCCTGTTTTATTGTCCTTTCACTTGTGGCTCAGAAGGAAAAGGAACATTAAACGTGTCCTGGCTTTATTGATAGAGTGCATGCACATGAGAGCGAGGGGGGGAAGAGGAGCGCAGGCTCCAACGGGGTCTGCTGGCTGCAATTCCCTTCCTGCCCTTCAGATGGAGGCACATGTGTGTCTACCTGGCTGACTGGGCCTGGGGTTTGAACCAAAGTCACCTGGGCTCTGGCTTCTCTTGAGCAGTGCATTACCTCTGCACATGGAGCTGGCCCAGTAAATATTTTTGAGCTTGCTCTCTTCGATTAGAAGCTTCTGATTATTTGAAGTCAGTTGCCTGCCTTTAACTTTTCCCAGTAGTAACGCTAACTTTTTATTTCTTTCAGATGGATTTAAACCCAGCCGAAGCATTGTCTTTGCCAGCTGGAGTGCTGGCGACTTTGGAGCTATTGGTGCCACAGAGTGGCTCGAGGTAGGATTCTCGTACGTCATCCGTGCCCAGAACCGGCAGCTGACCTTGTATTGGCTTGAACTTCCCTCCAGCAGCTTACTCTTTCAGATCTGGTTATGCCGTTTTTGCCTTTGTATATTTATATTTAATCTCAGTAGCATCCAGATTTCAGAATGAATCCTTAATGATAGCCACTCTGATGAATAGGTTAATATGTTGCTATTATATTATTATTTTCTCTTCTAGGGATACCTTTCCTCCTTGCACTTAAAGGCTTTCACTTACATTAACCTGGATAAAGCTGTTCTTGGTAAGTGCCCTTTTCATTCCTTGTTTATGAATTCAGGTAAACTACTTGGAAAAAAAATGTCCAAAGGTATATGCTCTCTCCAGAAAGAGACAGAGAGAGGAGACAGCACAGTAGGGCATGCCACGCTGCAGTGCCTTCTCCTCCATTTCCCCATCCTGTCGGGGTTTGAGGCACTTACACATGGCACACGCGTGCCTGGCAGGTTTTTGAAGCCACCAGGGACAGGATTCAGACCACAGTTGGCTGTGTGGGGTCCAGCTCCATTGATCACTACACCATGGGGCCAGGCCAGTAGACTACTTCTTTTTTATTTGGAGAGGTTTTTGCTATAGGGCACATGCGCTCGCCAGACAGACGGAGAGAGACATAGAGACAGAAAGCGAGAAATCACCCCCCAGGGGGGATGGCCACACTGCAATTCCTTCTCCTCCTTTCTCCTCTCAGGATCTTGGGCATGCACACACATGTTCCCGGCGTGAGTTTTAAGCCACCGATCGGGTCCAGGACACGAACCATGGTCGACTACATGGGAATCCAGCGACATAGCCATTACTCTAACTGCTGGTCCCAGACTACTTCTAAAACAGTCAAAGAAAGCTTTCTTTAGTAGCTCTTTTGGGGCCGGGAGGTGGCTTGCTGGTTGAGTCACTGGGCTCGCACATGGCTGGCTGCTTGCTTTCTCACTTTCTCTCTCTCTCTGGTCAAATTGAAAAATAATAATTAAAACTTACTTTGGCCATAGCTATGAAGATTGATTTAGCTCTCTTAAGTAGTCCATCAGGTTACAGAATGGTTACAGATTGCCTTGTTTAGAGCAGTGATTATTTATTTATTTATTTATTTATTTATTGGAGAGGTTTTTGATATAGGGCGCATGCACTCTCCAGAAAGATAGAGAGACAGAAAGCGCGAAATCACCCCCTAGGGAGGGGTGGCCATGCCGCAGTCCCTTCTCTTCCATTCTCCTCTTGGGATCTTGGGCATGCCTGCACACGTGTCCGGCGTGCATTTAAGCCTCCGGGTCCGGGACTTGAACCATGGTCCACTATAGGGGAGTTCAGTCACATAGCCATTACGCTAACTGCTGGTCCCTAGAGTAATGATTCTTGATACAGTTCCCCAGGTCAGTAGCGTCAGGATCACCTGGGAACTGTTAGGAATGCAAATTTTTAGTCCCTACCTCAGGTCTTTTGAGTGAGGAACTGGAACATGGGTTCTGTGTTTTTGTTTTTTGTTTTTTGTTTTTTTAGGAGAGGTTTTTGCTATAGGGCCCATGCACTCGCTAGACAGACAGAGAGATAGAAAGCAAGAAATCACCCCCCAGGGGGGATATGGCCACGCCGCAATCCCTTCTTCTGGTCCTGAGCATGGGTTCTGTTAAGAAGCACTTCAGGTGATTCTGATGTGCTGAAGTTTAAAGCCAGTAGCCTGGACTATATGTGGATGGACTAACGAAAGGTAACTCTGAAAAACGTAAAGTCAAGGAGTAAGAGCCTTTGTGGAGTCAAAGTAGACTTAGCATAGTGGCTAAAGAACTTGATTCCTAAGTTACTTTCTTGTCTACTTTGTTAATAGGTTAGTTGTTGTTATGGGGCCACCGATCTAGTGCCATTTTCCTGTTTGTCAAGAACTTTTAGTTGTAGCAGCAGCAGTGTAAAAATTGTTTGACTGCGAGAAGGGGCAATGTTAAAGTAATTTCTTTGCAGGTATCAGCAACTTCAAGGTTTCTGCCAGCCCGCTGTTGTATAAACTTATTGAGAAAACAATGAAAGATGTGAGTATATACCTAATTGCAAAAATGTCTAACTTAACTTTTTTTGTCACATTCACAAAAGGAAAAACATATTGATATTTAAGCCATTATCAGTAACAAATCATTGGAATTTGTCATAGACTCAGTCCTGTAGTAGCAATACTTTAGTTATGCTCTGGACTTACTGTTCCCAGCCTGTTACATTGTGTATGGTGGGGGAGGTGACACATGGAGGCTTCAGCCTCAGAGGATATGTGGTCTGTTTAAGAATCTGTACTCAAAGGCTCCGAGGCCTGAGCTACACTCGATGTACCCACGGGACTTCGTCTACAGAGTCAGAATGCTAATGAAGGAGCATTTAAAGGACTTGAACTGTGCCTGTGGGTTACATAAAAGCCAGGTGCAGCATTGCATAAAGCAGATATACGCATGGCCACAGTTGTGAATGAGGGAGGAGCACATGAAAGAATATTTGCCTGGTGGGGCATAGACACGGGTTCTTTGAAGACTTCATGGAAAACACGTATTATGAAAAAATTATGCGTGGCTTTCACACATATTTCTGCACCGACATAGACTTGTTCTAGTCTACTCCACTGCTAATAACAGGAAGGAAATATGTTAACCAGGCAATTTATAACAATAGAGGCACCAAAGCCTACTCAGTTCACTTTTTAGACGTCCAGGGGCCTTGTCTGCTGGGTAGGGGGGCGTGTCTAGCAGTTACATCACAATATGGCAGCAAGAATTGTTCCGAGGGTCTCTGTATCATGCCCTCGTATAAACCACCGAGAGTCGGTCAGGAGGCCCTCCCTGGTGACCTTAATCCTAATCTCTTGCCCAGAGCCCCACCTTTCCACATCATAATTGGATCAAGTTTTTTACTCTTAATCTCACAACAGTGAAGACAAAGCATGAAATTTTGGGAGACATATTCAACTATAGCAAATTCATACTTTAGTTTCTGGGGTTTTCTTTTTTTTTTAATTTTTTACAGTCAATCATTATATATCATTACAGCATACTAAGTGAATTTTCCCATCATAAATACACTGTACATTGGTTCAGTCAAGATATTACCGTAGATCTTATCAACAGATAATTTTCCATTTGTGTGCCCCTTATTAATTCCAGTTTTTAAAAGTCCCCCCTTGTACCAGAGTGATTAAAGTTGGAGGGAAACAAAGGTCAGCAAGAGACCTTGACCTCGATCCCATGGGAACCTAGAGAACACTCTAGCGTCTCAGAACAGTAACGTATTTGCCAGTGGGACTGGCAGTGTAAAGTTAGATAGGCAGTAGGAAGGAGGAACAAGAGAGGCCTATCGTAAAGGCTGGGGAGGACTTTCAAGATTGTGGTAAACCACCTTCAAACTGTCAAGTGAGAAGGAAAACATTTTTCAGACTATAACTAAAGGAACTGACAGCCTAAGATGAGCGGTCGTTGTAACTGTCTTAAGGACATGTTTTTCAAGGAGATATAATAAAACTTTAGTATTTCTATAAATATTTATAGAGAGAAACGTGTTAGTGACTAGCTTGAGTAGCTGAAGTTCAGAAAGATTAGTTTCACGACATTACTTTCTTATTTTACAGGTGAAAAACCCCACTACTAAACGCCCCCTCTATGAGGACAGCAACTGGACCAACAAAGTGTAAGTAGAGAAGAGAAAATGATCAAGCCAATGGAAAGGCAGAATGGCCCGTAGCACCTGCTACGTGAAGCTGAGGTTTAAACCTGACCCTGCAGGGATCCTCCCTATCCTCACAGAGTCAGCTCTTTGAAAGAAGTTGGGCCTAGGTGTGGGATTGCATAGTCGCATGGTCTGTTCTTTAAAAAACTTCCTAAAGGCACGTTCTCACTTTCTTTGCAGTGAGAAACTTTCTTTCGACAATGCTGCTTTCCCTTTCCTTGCATATTCTGGAATCCCAGCAGTTTCTTTCTGTTTTTGTGAGGTAAGTCCAAAGAGTCCTAAAGCGTTCTATCTTAGATTTTCTTGTATCACCATTGAAAACAAGTTTCCTGGAGTGATAAAAATTAAATTATAAACATGTAGGCCCAGCCTCTGTCGTGCTGACAGTAGCATACCAGACTGCAGAACTGGAAGCCACCTGCTGACCACAGTTTGAGTCCCTGACCTGGTCAGCCAGAAAATACACTGGGCATGTGAGTGTGTGCCCAGGAACCCCAGGAATGAGGTGACTGGAGAGAGGGGGTTACTGTGTGACCAGTCCCCGTAGAGGGTCCCCACCGTGCCCCATGCACAGGCACACACTGTGTCATACGTGAGGACAAACGTTTTAAAATAATGTGATATACTCTCGTACTATAATCTTAAAATAGACTTGTTTCCTTAATTTTCCTTCGAGTTTATTCCTAAAACTTCTTTACTGAAGTATGATGAGGTTTTTTAAAATAAATTATTTCATTTCATTTGTCATCAACATATTTATTTATTTATTTAGAGACACTTTTGCTATAGGGTATATGTGCTCTCTGGAGAGACAGAGACAAATAGAAAGCAAGAAATCACCCCCAGTGGGAATGACCATGCCACCGTCCCTTCTCCTCCATTCCCCCTTGGGATCCTGGGCACACACACACATGCCACCTTCTGTGTTTTAAGCCTCCAGATCCAAGACTCGAACTTTGGTTAACCATGTGGGAGTCCAGTGTTTTAACCACTATGCCACCTGCTGGCCCCATTTTTAATTTTTTAAAAATTTGCTACAGCGTATATATGCTCACCAGAGAAAGAGAGAGAGAGAGAAAGGGAACATGAGGAAGCAAGCCACCAGGTCCAGGACTTGAACCACAGTTGGCCATGTGGTAGTCTAGCGCCTTAACCATCAAGCTACCTGCTGGCCCCAATATGATGAGATTTTTTTTTTGAGAGGTTTTTTTTTGTTTTTTTTTTTTGCTATAGGGCGCGTGCGCTAGCCAGACAGACAGACAGATAGAAAGCGAGAAATTACCCCCCAGAGGGGATGGCCACGCCGCAATCCCTTCTCCTCCATTCTCCTCTTGGGATCTTGGGCACGTACGCACATGCGACCGGTGTGAGTTTAAGCCTCTGGGTCCAGGACTCGAACCGCGGTCAACTACATGAGAGTCCAGCGACATAGCCGTTACGTTAACTGCTGGTCCCCCCAATATGATGAGTTTTAATAACAAGGCCTAATTTTTTTGAATGATTGAGTAGCTAGTGGCTACCCATTGGACAGTGTGAGTATAGAATATTTCCATCAAACAGAAAGTTCCATGGGGAATGGTGTTTTGAGGTACTTCTTGAAATATGGTTCTAGATCTTTCTTCAGAGATGTTAGCCCCTTAAGCAGGGATTATGGGTAAAAGAATTTAGAGCTGACCCAAGTTGTAGGAAAACAGATTGGCTTGGTCCAAGAGCTGAGTCGAAGGCCCTGAGGGCCAGGCGGAATGAACACTAGTCTGGAAGCAGCTATGCCCACTCGCCGCAACTGGGAAAACGGGCCCTGTAGTGGGGCTTCTGAGGCTCAGGAGATCCTCGAGTGAGTACACGGCGTCGGGTTGGAAGCCATTAACTTTAGCATCAAATTGTCAGTCTAATAGTAGAGGTCAGGTCCTTATTGGGTTTTTGATTTTTTGTTCATTTTTGGGTTTTGCCATACGATGTGTGTACTTGCCAGAGAGAGCCAGAGAGAGAGGGACAGTGAGAAGTCACCCCTTGGGGGAATGGCTATGCTGCAGTCCCTTCTCCTTCAGTCTCCTCTCAGGATTTTGGGCACATACACCCGTGGAACCTTGTGTCATTTTTTTTTTTCAAGCCTCCAGGTCTGAGATTCAAACCATGTTGGCTATGTGGAAGTCTAGCACCTTAACCACCGTACCACCTGCTGACTTTTTAATCACTGCTTTTTATCTAGAACTAGAAGGGGGTAAAGTCTAAGTTAAGGAGAGATCAAAGATCTGAATTTGGAGAGGAGCCTAGCTGGAATCCTCTTCAGTTTCAGCCCGAACAGCGGGATGAATGGTATTTAAATAGCTGGTCACGATGTGTGTTAGAAAGAACTGCCTCTCAGGTCCTGCAGATATGCATGGTTTTTGTTGACTTTCCGAAGTCATCTTTTCAAAACTTCTAATGTGGTTTTAGATTTCAAAATCTTGAGTTATAGCAGTAGGGACCAGCAGATGGCGTAATGGTTATGTTGCTGGACTCCCATGTAATTGACTGCAGTTTGAGTCCCAGACCCAGTGACTTAAAACTCACACCAGGTGTGTGTGTGTGTGTGTGTGTGTGTGTGTGCATATTTCCAAAATCCCGAAAGGGGAATGGAGGAGAAAAGATTGTGGTGTGGCCATCCCCCCGGAGGGTGATTTCTCTCTCTCTGTCTCTTTTTTTTTTGGAGAGGTTTTTGCTATAGGGCGCGTGCGCTCGCCAGACAGAGAGAGAGACATAGAGACAGAAAGCAAGAAATCACCCCCCAGGGGGGATGGTCTCTCTGCAGTCCCTTCTCCTCCATTCTCCTCTCGGGATCGTGGGCATGCACCCACGTGCACCCGGCGTGAGTTCTAAGCCACCGGGTCCGGGACACGAACCACAGTCGACTATGTGGGAGTCCAGCGACATAGCCATTATGCTAACTGCTGGTTCCCTCTCTCTCTCTGTTTTTGCCTGTCTCTCTGTCAAGTGCACATGCCCCTTTTCTCTGTCTCTTCATCTGGTGCGTGTGCCCTATAACAAAAGTTTACAGAAAAATAAAAACACAAAAAAGAGTTACAGCAATAGGTAAATGTATAGTGTAAAGTAATGAATCGAAGTCAATTCTTAATGAGATTGTCTCTAAGAACAATGGTAGGGAATAGAATTGAAGACAATTATTTGCCCAGTGGAGGGAAAGCATCAGACTTTATTAGAAAAGTAACGTGAATGGACCGAGTATTGCATAATTAGGAAGAAAGCAAATTTTAGTTTAAAGTTAATGCTTTATATTACATTTCATGTGACCTTTTCCCTTTCCCCGTTAATATGGGCCAAGCTTCCAGAAAGAAGAGAGCGAGAGACACAGACTTACACAATTTGGCTAAAAGTCTATTCAAGATATGTAATATGATAGGACAGGGGTGCTATAGAACCTGGAAGAAAATAGTCATTCTAGGAGTAGGTTAGAGTCGGAGGTAGCAAGAATAGCGTCTTCTTTTTTGTTTGTTTTTACCGTAGGGTGTGTGCGCTCACCAGAGATAGTGAGAAAGAAAAGGAGAAATTACCCCCTAAGGGGGGGATGACCATTCAATCCCTTCTCCTTCATTCTCCTCTCAGGATTTGGGGCACACACACAAACATACCTGGTGTGTTGCAAGCTGCCAAGTCCAGGACTCAAACCATGGTTGGCCATGTGGCATCCCAGCAACCACACCACCTGATGGCCCCCGAGTAGTGTCTGAAAGCATCGGCTATGGATAAAATTGAGGGGGGATATATTAGGAAGTGCAGGAGAGTTACAGTTACTATCACCCTGACAGTGAAAAAGGAACCTGAGGCTCCTGCACTTTTACCCCGAGTGAGTATAACATCCTAGTTCTCTTCTCCAGGACGCAGATTATCTGTATCTGGGTACGACCATGGATACCTATGATGCACTGGTTCGTGCCGTCCCTCAGTTGGACCAGATGGCACGCGCGGCAGCAGAAGTGGCTGGCCAGCTCATGATCAAACTCACCCACGAGATCGAGTTGAACCTGGACTATGAGATGTATAACAACGAAATTCTCTCCTTTGTGAGGGGTCTCAACCAATTCAGAGCCGACATAAAGGTGAGCACCGACTGAAATTAGATCCCTGTCGCTAAAGAAGCCAGCTGTTTGCAGTACCCTGTTTAGCTGCTTCTGAGGGGATAGATAACTGTCACCCTAAGAGTGCGCTAGAGTCAGGAAGTAGCAAGAGCAGTGATTGGTAGCCAAGTACATCTTAAAGGGAATGGAAGTGTAGTTTTGCTTAGAAGTCATTACTCATTTGAAAGAGAAGTGGATTGTAGATCTAGGGTAGACACGGGATTTCAGAACACAGAGCTATGTTAAGTTTTCTAGGCATCTCGTAAGTAGATAGGACCCAGAAAATACGAAGATCCCAACTCTGGGTCGGGCTTGCGTCTGATTTCAGGCATGACTTGGGAGGCAAGAAAACAGAGCCAGTAGTTCCGTCTTATTTAGTGTTGATCCTGTGTGTCTAGCATTCAGATGTTGAATTAGTGATTTCCAGCTGGTTTTACTAAGAGTTGACTTAACAGATTCCTTCACTGAAGTGAATCACTGAGAATTGAGAATAGCAAGATTCTGAAGTTCATCAAACCAAGATGTTTGAGGTTTTGTCCCTACAGAGAAATTGAACTGGAATCAATATATAGTACATATAGATTATATACTTTTTCTATGTTAATTATGTTGAATTTCTTGGTGAGCATGGTTTTCGTATGAGGCCATAGGCTATAGCCGAACTCAAGTATGAGTCTATTACAGTCATTTACCGGGCTCAGGACCTCCTGAACGGGATGCTTAAGTGTAGTTTCCTGAGTCTTCAGCTTCCTTTTATTGGAATTTTCTCAGTTGCCACATTGAAATGAAAAAGATATATAGAAAAAGATCCTTAGAAATACAACTTGTCATGGTGCTTCAATGACTTGCTGTTTCAGGAGATGGGCCTGAATCTGCAGTGGCTGTATTCTGCTCGTGGGGACTTTTTCCGAGCCACTTCCAGACTGACCACAGATTTCCACAATACCGAGATCACAAACAGATTTGTCATGAGGGAAATCAATGATCGTATCATGAAAGTAAGTGAACTCAAGGGGAAGGGAGAATTAAAGTATGTTAAGCATTTAATTGGTAAATCTTGTATTCTAAAGAGTAGAATAACTCTAGGAGCCTAGACTCCTTTGCTGCTTAAGAACTGAGTGTAGGTTTTAACTCAAAGCAAAATCTAAAACCAACATCCCTTAATCAGAAATACAAGAGGCATTTGAACTAGTCTTTTTTGTTTTTATTTTTCGGGCTTTAGAAATACATTTTAGAAGAGATCGTTAATGATTATTAACTGTCTTTTCCTTTCCCTTTTTTTAAAATAATTATTTTATTTAACTTTATTTATTTATTTATTTATTTTAATCTGACCAGAGAGGGACAGAGTGACAGAGACAGAGACAGAGGGAAAGTGAGAAAGCGAGCCACCAGGTCTGAGACTCAAACCGCAGTCAGCCGTGTGGGAGTCCAGTGCCCTCAACCACCACACCACATGCCGGCCCCGTATGAACGGTCACTTTCTATTTGTATTGTCTAATTCAGGCCTTACTCATGCCTGACCTGCTTTATCCTAGTCCGCTTGGAAGAAACCAAAGACTTGTTAACCTTCCATCTGTATGTGCCAATCCAAAACAAATAATAATAAATTCAAATAATTTTTATACAGTTTTGTATACAGTTTGCATTTTTTACAAGGGAATGGACATTTTGGCCTTGCTTTGGAATTTTAACAGTAAAAATAGTAACATTCTCAGTTTTTGTTTTGCTGTAGGGCGTGTGTGCTCACCAAAGAGAAATGGAGAGAGACAGTGGGGGGTGGCCACGCTGCAGTCTTCCCCTCCGTTCTCCTCCTAGGATCTTGGGCACACATGCACATATGCCTCACATGATTTTTAGGCCCCCAGATCCAAGACTCGAACCGTAGTTGGCCGTGTAGGAGTCCAGCACTTTAACTACCACACAACCTGTTTTTGTTGTTGTTGGTTCTTCTGTTTGTTTAGTTTTTAGTTTTTGCCAGAGAACGCATGTACTCACAGGAGAGAGACAGAAACAGAGAGGGAGGGAAAGTGAGAAAGCACTCCTCAGGGAGCATAATCACGCCCACGGTCCCTTCTTCATTTCTTCTTTGGGGTCTTGGGCACACATGCACATGCGCCCGGTGTGTTTTTCAGACTGTTGGGTCCCGTATTCCAACCTCATGGTCAGTCATGTGGGATCCAGCTACCATAACCACTCTGCCGTGGGCTGGTCCTCCACATTGTTAAACTCAGGGGACTTTCAACATTGGAGGTGAAGGGAGGACGGGTTTTAGTATGGCGGGAGCTGTCCTGTGTCAGCTGTCTTCTGTTTTGTCTTCATAGGTGGAATACCACTTCCTCTCGCCCTACGTATCTCCGAGAGAGTCTCCTTTCCGACACATCTTCTGGGGGTGTGGCTCTCACACTCTGTCAGCTTTACTAGACAACCTGAAGCTACGTCAGAGAAATAGCGGCGCTTTTAATGAGACGCTGCTGAGGAACCAGCTGGCCCTCGCCACTTGGACTATTCAGGGAGCTGCAAATGCCCTCTCTGGGGACGTCTGGGACGTCGACAATGAGTTTTAAATGCGATGCCGTAACTTCACGTAAGAACAGCGGGGTAGTCTGGTTTCTAGCCTTGTGCTGGTCATGCTAATTGTTCAGTAGGTCGACAAAACCTTATGTTAGAACTCTACCCAGTCACCTTGGTACTTCTAGATATATGTCTTTAGGTGGCAACTTTTACTACCGGGTAGGTACCTGCACTTCAAGTTAAAGTGAATAACCACTTAAAAAATGTTCATGATAGAATATTTCCTCTGATTATCTCTAGAATTTTAAGTGCTTTGTAATGGTAACTGCCTCTTTCCTGTTATAGTTATGGGAGTATCCACCAGTTACATGAACAGTCGCTCTAAATCCTGAGGGCACGAGCTGGTATCTTTTGAGGTGGGAGGAAGAAGGTGGTGTTTGCTGAAGGTTAAAAGTGGTGGCATAGTTTGATCCTCCAGCCTTCATTTGATGCTAGATAGGAGATACCAGGTTGTAAGACCTTATTCTCCAAACGCGATCGTATGCCTTTCCCGAGGATTTAGCTGGTTTCCATATCCCTGAATGAAACAGTTAAACTTTGAGAAGAGGGAGACTTGTTTTCCTGCCAGTGAGGGCTGAAAGAGAGGTCCTTCCACTGGATCAAATGAGGTTCAACTGTTTATTGCAGGAGTAAGGCCTTAATGTGTTTACCTTGATAATATTTATGAAAAGAGGAGACCAGAAGCCAAAGACGTCGTGTATTTTCTTTTCCTCTGACCCCTACCCTAAGAGTCTATGTTTAGTTCTTTGTCGTGATTTCTTCCAAAGTATTTTGAAAGAGAACCAGTTTCAGGTGTTTAATTTCAGGCTCAGTTTGTCAGACTTAAAGAACACATTGCCACACCTCGGGCATTGTTAGTCTTTGGGAAAAGCTTTCTATCATTTTGGCACTGAGATATTTATTGTTTATTTATCAGTGACAGAGTTCACTATAAATGGTGTTTTTTTATAGAAGATAATTATCGGAAGCAGTGCCTTCCATAATTATGACAGTTATACTGTCGTTTTTTTTGAATAAAAGCAGCATCTGCTAATAAAACCCAATAGATACTGGAACTTTTGCACTTATGGCCAACACTTCAGGGCTGTAGAAAACAGCCACGAGACAATTAAATCATACACTTTTTGGAGAAGCATTCAATTTAATTAGGGGTTGCTAATTGAGTTAAATTTCTACCTAGCAGACCACGTAAAAATGATCGTTCTCCTAAATGTAACGACTTGTGACCGAGTTATAAATACACGTCAGTAAAAGGCCGGGTAGCGCTTGTGTATGTAAAATTGTACAACTCGGTTTACCCAGGGTATTGCTTCAGTTCCAGCTTTGCAAAACTTCCAGTACCTTTGTCACAGAGCTAACTCACATTATCGGGAGCAGTGTCTTCCATAATGTATAAAGAACAAGGTAGTTTTTGCCTACCACAGTGTCTACATCGGAGACAGTGATCTCCATATGCTACACTAAGGGTGTACGTAATTATCGGGAACAGCGCTTCCCATAATTTTCTTCATGCAATGACATCTTCAGAGCTTGAAGATCGTTAGTATCTAACATGTATTCCCAACTCCCTGTACTTCACTTCTAGTTTTAGTTGCAGAGACATTTTGTGGTCATTAAGCATTTGGTGGGTAAATTCAACTACTGTAAAATAAAATGACTTCCTTCAAGATTTTGTTTTGTTTTGTTTTAAACTTCATGTGGGGATTTTGTTATCTTTGTGGTCTCTCCAGGTCTTCTATGTAGTGAGATAGTAGTGTAGCATTTGCTGTTGACAATGAATTTAACATTACCCCCTCATTTGCATGTTATTGCCTATAAACTTAGTTCAAGTAACTTCGAATCCAGAATTGACCTTTTTGGCTTAAAGCAGGAGGGAATTGTATAGGAGGTTTTGGGGGGTGGGGGTGGGCACGGAGTGAGGGGTGTGGGGAAGCAAAGCTTGCAAAAGAATCTTTGATCATGTCTACCTACCCACTAGTTTATGGCGGCTGTGAATTAAATGTAGATATGAACAACTACATTTGAGACTATGTGAGTCCAGACTGTATTTTCTAGTTAGCCATCATTATAGACCTGATGATCAGGTAGCCATTTATTCAGAACGGCCACCTATGAAAATGTCCACAAAGGGTCTTCATGTTCTTCGGCTTGGTGTCACTTACCTGTTATGGTAGACCTCGGTTATTGCAGCCTCACATTTCCTCACTGCGCACCGTCTCTAATCTTCACAGTGCTTTATTTTGGACCAATCCTTAGTTGAGTGAAAAGGTCACAGCTGGGGTTCCTGGTTTGGGTACCCTGCATACACACTTCAGTGACTTCAGGGCATAATAGGGATAAAGGGCATACATTTTATAGCAGTAAATCTCTTCAAAACTCCTTTCCTAGGGTTAGGTAGAGTTGTTTCCGATCAAATGAGCCAGTAAGTGGCAAGAGGCTTAATATTCCTGAACAAAATGTGTATCTGAGTAGTGACAACCTGCTAGACTTCATTTTTCTTTCTGGTTAAAGATACCATGTGCATCTTGAAGGTAAGGGATAAAATGAGTGAGTTCTGCCATGATTCACTATTTTAGAACTTGCATGACTTTTACTGTGTTTGCTCTTTGAATGTTGTGAAAATTTTAGACTTGTCAACCTGCTCAGCTATGTCTTTGTAAACAAGTGATATGCCCTTAAAATTGTATACAAGCTGGTATGAGCAACAATGTGGAGATTATTTGATTTAATAAAATGCTTGAACACTGCGTTGTGATTATCATTTTTTGTGCTTTTTTGTTTTATTGCTTAGTTTATTCATGAGAGAGGGCACATGTGTGTACACAAGAAAGAGAGAAAGGGCAGCCTTGGCAGGATTTTGTCACACCATGACCCCCTGACCCCAGCCCTCCAGCTCATCACGATTTGGGTGTGTATGAGCTCATCTGGTGTTTCAGGTCAGCGGGGATCTGAACCTGTGGCCTCCCTGTGGCTTCCAGCACTGCAGATCAGAATGCGACTGCCCAAGTCACCAAGGCTGGACTTTTTTTTTTTTTTTCTTTTAAAGAATTATTTTATCTATTATCATTATTATTATTTGTTTAATTTGACCAGAAAGAGACAGAGAAAGAAAGGAAAAGTAGGAAAGCAAGTCTCCAGGTCTGGGACTCAAACTGTGGTCTACCATGTGGGAGTCCAGTGCCTGAACCACCCTGCCACCTGCTGGCCCAGGCTGACTTATTTTTCTAGACCAGTTTTAGGTCAGCAAACTGAGCAGACCGTACAGAAAGGTCCAGATACCCCTGTCTCTGTCACGTGTATATCTTCCCCACTACCGACATCCCACACCAGAATGGTACATGTTTTACAATTGACCCTACGTTGGCATACCATTATCACCCTAAGTGCATCCATTTACATTATGGCTCTCTGTGCGCTCCCTGCTCACATTCTGTGGGTGTCCACAATGTGTAGTGACGTGTATCTATGGAGTACCACACAGAACAGTACTACTGCCCTACATTTCTGTGCTCTCCCATAACCCTTTAGAACCACTGATCTTTCTGCTGTCCTGTAATGGTCCAGGATGTCATAGTTGGAGTTATAGAGTACATAACCATTTTGGACTGGCTTCTTTTACGTAGTAGTGTGCCTTTATTCTTCAAGGCTCAACAGCTCATTTATTTACTTATTGCCAGAGAGGGAGAGGCAGAAAGCACCTCCAACGGGGTGTGGTTGTACCACAATCCCTCCATCTCCATCCCGTCAGGATTCGAGGCATGCACACAGGCCTGATGCATTTCTTTTTTTTTTTTTGGAGAGGTTTTTTTTTTTTTTCTGTTTTTTTTTTCTTTTTTTATTTTTTGCTATAGGGCGCGTGCGCTCGACAGACAGAGACAGAGAGACAGAAAGTGACAAATCACCCCCTAGGGGGGATGGCCATGCCGCAATCCCTTCTCCATTCTCCTCTCGAGATCTTGGGCACGCACGCACATGCCCCCGGCGTGAGTTTTAAGCCACCGGGTCCGGGACGCGAACTGTGGTCGAGTACATGGAAGTCCAGCGGCATAACCATTATGGTGACTGCTGGTCCCACAGGCTTGGTGTATTTCTTGATATACAAGGGCTGAGATTTGAACTGTGGTCAGCCATGTGGGATCCATCTCTCTTAACCACTAGGCTATAGGAATGGGCCAGTTATTTATTTATTTATTGAGAGGCTTTTACTATAGGGTGCATGCACTCACCAGAAAAACAGAGACAGAGAGACAGAAAGCAAGAAATCACCCCTCAGGAGGGATGGCCAGGCCTCCTCCATTCTCCTCCTGGGATCTTAGGCATGCACACGAATACCTGGTCCTCTCCAGTAATCCCTTCAGGTGCTTCCTCATTGCCTTTAGATAGTACTTGTAGGTCTTATTTCCAGCCTGTTTCTCCGGAGGAGTTCTTTTAATCTGGGGATTTATGGGGCTGGCAGGTGGCATGGTAGTAAAGGGCACTGAACTCCCACACTCAACTGCGGTTCAAATCCCAGACCTGGAGCATGCTTTCTCACTTTCTATCCTTCTCTGGTCAAATTAAAATAAATAAATAAATAAATAAATGGATAAATAAAGGTAAATAAAACAATTGTTTTTTTTAAAAAGGAAAGAAAATCTGGAGAGTTATAAGCGTGTTTTCTAGCATGCCTAGGAAGAGACCGGGCATGGCCATTCCATCTACAGACTCTGGTGCTTTAAATGGAGTGCCTTGCCCATTCTGGTGTGCCTGGAGTCTCACCCACAACCTTTCTGTTCCAACCCCTGGATGGTAATCTCCTGTCCTACGCTAGAAAAATGTAGGGAAGGGAAGGTGCAGATGGTGTGGTCATGATAAAGGCTTCCCACATATCCTGGATTTGGTCTTATTTCAGTTACCCCCACGTTGTTTATTGTTGTGTTAGTTTTGCTATAGGGTGCATGCACTCACTGGAGAGAGACAGGGGGAGTAAGAAATCTCCTCGGGGACCAGCAGGGTGGCATGATGGTTAAGGCGCTGGGTTCCCACATGGCTGACTGCAGTTCGAATCCTGGACCTGGCAGCCTGCTTTCTCATTCTCTCTCTGACTCTTCCTTTCTGGTCAAATTAAAATAAATAGATTGATTAATTTAAACAAAATAATTTTGGGGGGCGGCAGGTGGTATGGTGGTTAAGGCGCTGGACTCCCACCTGGCCAGTCACAGTTTGAGTCCTGGATTGGTTAGCTTGTTTTCTCACTTGCCCTCTCTCTCTCTCTGTCCCTCTCTGGTCAACTTAAAATAAATAAATAAATAAAGTTAAATTTTAAAAAAGAAAGAAATCTAGGGAGATGGCCACATCACAATCCTTTCTCCTCCATTCTCCTCTAGGGATTTTGGGCATGCACACACATGTGCCCAGCATGATTCTCAAGCTGCTTGGTCCAGGACTCGAACTGCACAGCCGGTCATGTGAGATCCAGTGCTGTCCCGACCCGGGCGGGGCAGGCGAACGGGTT